TAGCAAACAGAAAAATAAAAATTTCAGAGCTTGATCAGACCACCTGTCTTGCTCTCATTTCTCATGTCTCTTGTCCTTCCATTCATTGGTTCTCTCCTCAGGTGCACGTTGAAGACCCCACTGGCCAGGGGCAGCTTCGGCCTCTAAAGATTGTCCTGAAAAGGTTTTATGTAAACCATGATGTTAAGAGGGACCAAAAAGTGTTTGTAGCTGGGGAGATTGGCTGAACTGATAACTGTACAAGAATGAAAGCCTGCGCTCTAGTGCCAGAACCCTCAGCCCTCTCAATGGGAGGGAACTCATGGGTGGCACTGTAATTACAGACAAATCTACAAGGCTGGAGACATCATAGACCCTACAGAAAACCCTGTCATATCTCTAGACAAATGAAATTTCTTACCATAGCCTAAATATGGATTCTTATATTTAAAGACAAGTATACAGTTCATCACTCATCAAAGAAGCTTATTTTTGGCAACAAATGGAGGCTAGTGCAGAATTTCACAACTGGGCACACACAGAGAATATACATTTGAGCTATGCCCACTGCTAGGTGACATATCAACAGTGGGACCTCTATAACGGCTCACAGTACATGGTGGAATAGGCGATGGAGAGACTACTAGTGCATCCCTCAAGTCTCACCAGCGAAGTTTCCATATACAAAAAAGTGTGATGCACAGAGAAGGTCACAACTGATTATGTTTTAGAGACTACAGAGTGTGTTTCCTTGGATAGGACTCCTATATTAAACCTCACCTACCCACAGCTCAAGGACCATTTCGGAGGAGGGGACAGAACGATTATGAGAGCCAGGTTGGTCCATGAACATAGAAAAACAGAGGCTTTTAGGTCACTGGAAGCTTGCTCATGTGAACTTCTGGCAATGGTGACACTGAGCATGAGACCCATGCCAACTCAATCAGACAAGGCCCCAGAGTGGTGCAAAGGAAATGGATGGTGTGTTGGCCCTAACTTGAGTACTGTTGGAAGCTGATTTCGGCTGGGTGAAGGAGAGTAGACCTTCTTTAAGCTCTCTAGATAGGCTAATCTCACACTGAATGGCGTCTGGGTAAAAGGCTTGACCAAATGGGCTTAACACGTATGGCAGAG